GTGACCGAGCTTCTTCAAAACTGAAACTCTGCCTGTTTAAAAAGCAGAAAGCTATACGAACAGATTGACTGTCTTTCTATCCATTCAACATCGTCCCTGTTATGTAAGGTGACAATGAAGTGACTTCCTGAGAGAACAGTTCTTATTACTGACCACTATGTATTGTATGTATTGTATGTGGCCACTGCAAAGCTGCATATCACCATAGCACTTTTAAATCGGGAAAACATCACGAAAATTTCTCGAATTTTTGGACTAAATGGAAAGTACTCACTGTTTCCCTAAACGTTTCGTTGTTTGCATGCACATGCAACGTTTGTCATAGGTAAGAACAGGAGCTCCTGGTAAGAAATGTGTCTTTTTGTGAGACTTTCTTCTATAGCATTTCCTTATTTCACAATGTAGTTTTGTAGTGAGGGATAATAAGATAGTTATAACTCTTATTTAGTGCTGAGCTGGAGTTTTCACCTTTTAACATTCTTTTTTTTATTTTATAGACTCCAATTCTTTTGCCATTTGGAGTTGTTCTTCAGGACCCTAACTTGTGGCCAGAACCCAAGAGGTAACAGCGTCCTGGTAGATCATTTGTTGACTGACCGACTGTGGGAGGGGAGGGGAGGGGAGGGGCCCATATGACTTTGACGCGGGGAGATCACAGTACAACTTATTGTGTTTAGATCTAAAATAACCACTTTTTAATGAGGGACGGGCTATTTAATTTTCTGATAAGGGTTAGAGTTTGGCAATTTTACCCGAAAAATTCCAGCACTGGAAAAATGGATGCAAAAATCATGCAGAACAAACCGAACGATAAATTCTCGATCTTGAAAACCTTTCTTCTTGTGGGATCTTGAAATGAAACTGTTTTTAAAGAAAATATTGTGTCATAAATTTGTGGTAAACCCTTGCCACAATTCAGGTGCAAAATCGTTTTTGCTGACAGAATTTTTTGGCATATATTTGAGTTTTGCGTAAATAGGGTCTAAAGATCTCTCGTGCTCTTTATAGACTTCTCACTTGCTAGCACGTTGTAACTGATTCAAATTCCTGTTGTAGGTTTGATCCTGATCGTTTCAGCCCTGAGAACATGAAACAGCTTCCAAGCCTTGCTTACCAGCCATTTGGCTTTGCCGGGAAGCGAAAGTGTCCTGCATGGCGATTCTCAATTGCTGAGGGACTGGTGTTCCTGTCCATTCTCATGAAACGATTCAAGTTTCATCTCGTAGAAGGACAGGAAGTGAAACCTGTCCATCGGCTGGTGACGTCACCAGCAGAGGAGATCTGGGTCACAGTGACTGAGAGATAAATGATCAGAGACGGACTTTGCAAGTGCCACTCGTTGAAATTGAAATGTCATTGTCGTCTTTACGCGCAGTCCACACTACGCTAGAGAAATTTGAAAACGGAGGTTTCGATCTGGTAACGCATCAAATGTTTTCCGTCCACACTACGCCGGAGAAATTAATAAAGGGAACAATTTCCGGTCATTTTGGATTTGTGTTTGATTAAAACTCAGGCAGAGAAATCATATGATTAGCGTGATGCCATCGTTTTGGAAAAGCTCCGTTTTTAAAATGTTTTCCCGCCACAATAAAGCGAAAATCCAACGTTATCAATACCCTCCGATTTGAAGATTTTCGAAAAGCTCCATTTTCGTAACGGGTTAGTGTGGAAGCTAAGTTGTAACAGTAGAAATAAAGCTGCCTTCAACGTTTTCCGGCGTGGTGTGGATGCTGCCTAATAATTATCCAAAATAAGTTTTAGTTAGTGGTAAAGTTTAGAGTGCGTGTCACATCATATCTTGTCTATCTTCAGCTGGATGTGAAAAAACCTTTTCTAAACACCACTGTGTAATGAAAAGTTCCAAACAACCATTAAAGTCGACTTTGGCGACTCAAAATAACAAGACTATAAAAACCAAACTATGTAATCTTAAACTAATATATTGTCGTAATGACTCAATTTGTCAATGTCGCCGTAGTATTTCCAAAAAAAATTGATTTAATGTTGAAAGATGTATGTGATTTACATGACGCGAGCAACCGGCGCTCAAAAAAAAAATATAGTTTTTCCGTCCAAAAAAGCAACATTATTTTAAAGTAAAACAATCCAAGCCTATAATTTTTATACTGGCTAGCAGGAATCTTGATGAGATAAAGTTTAATTTGCTTTAGAAATCTGATTTTAGTGCCAATTTAGAAGGTATTACTTAGCTGCTTGCGACACGAATTTTTTGGGGTAATTCTACTAATTGTAGGTTTGACTTACACAAAACTATTTATGATAAAAACTTGTCGTAGGCTTGTCGCGTGCGGTAAAGTTGCGTGGTCTAAATCAACCCGAAATTAAATTACAGTGCTCAATACAGCCTCTTAGTGGGTTTGGAATTATCTGAAATCTCGTGTCTAATACTCAGTATCATGCTAGTTATCGAATTGGTTTACAACCGCAACCTTTAGAATCTGATGACTTCAACAATACTGTGTAGCAGAACTGTAATGTTGCTTTTTTTACAAACCTGTAATCTGGAACAATTTAAACTTAATTTAGTGTTACAGTAGGTAGGATAGAATTTTAAATAAATGAATGCATCGATTATCCAGTTAAAAATGCATTGTTTTAATTATCTTGGTTTTTTTTTACTGCTCAATTTACAGTAAATAGCATATACGCAGGGTATCAGACCGTATGACCGTCCGCTGGTCAGGTGCTCAAACAACTAAGCTACATAGCACTCCTGGTGGGCCAGGTCATGTAAGTAGGCTCTACAGGGTCGAGCGTCGCGCTCAAATATCTCAGCTAAGGATCTTACGAGATCCGTATGACGGTCTGTTAACATACAGTCTGACGTGAATTCTATGAGTAAATACGCAAAATTTCTGCGCAAACTCGATCTATAGTCTTCTCGCTGTTTCTTCACACTCGTCTCTTTCAACTTCCTTATTTGTCTTCATCACCAGACGTATTTTGGATGCCTTCAAACACTATCGGCTCGTCTAAGAAAACCAGCAAAACATACATTAATAATATATACTGCGAGGACAAGGTGATCAAGAAAAAAACAATACACTAATAAACAAAAAAGTGTCTTTGCAACTGAAAACTGAAGCCGAAGACACTACAAGTTGAAGAAGAACGATGGTTGAATTACGCACCTGTTCCAGCCATGACCGTTGTACCCTCTGTGGGGAATTCGTACGGCTTCATGTCCCCACCCTGGAGAGTGAGAAGTACTAAGGGCAAAACACTTTCATAGCCCAGAGCAATACACTGACCATCCCCCACGGGATATACCGCTGTCACCTACGAAAAAGAAATAACGATTATCTCTGGTTTCGATTTCGAATTTCCGCCCGTCGCATTCGGATTGAAATGCCGCGGTTTTACTTGTAATACTTCAGAAGAAAATCGCTACTTGAAAAATACGTCCAGCGAGATAATATAGACCCCACTCTCAAAAATGAACCGATGGGCTTATAAATTATTAGGATCCTGGAGGCAAGTTTACTCTTTCCATTATGAAGATCGAGTTGTTTTGTAATTTAATTCATTTCAGGATGCTCAGAGCCTTTTTTTAAATATGTTTAATAAGTTCCACCGCGCAGTACTCAGTTCTTTATTTTTCACAGCAAAATTACCTTGAAAATATAAGCCCGACCTCACATTCAATCCTATTGCCCAAAAATAAGCAGAGGCATCAGGGTAAAGCGACAAGATGTATTTCTTCCTACACCTCACCTGCCCTGAACAGGCCATTTCCAAGTTCGCTTATGATCTCTGTTTCAAAACGAGTCTTCGTGCAAAACCTTTTAGATGAAATGCGTTTAATTTGCATGAAAATGAACCTGTAGTGCGAACATATTTTCACATGAATTGTTCCGCACGATGACTCGCTTGACACATCATAGGGTTACCCAGCATTCATTTCGCCCGTACCCAAGGCCATTTATTCCTTGGCGCGCTTTGTTAAATAGAAACAAAAATTAATGCCACATCAGTTTAAGTCTTTGACCTTATCTGCCGTGAAGGTGGCTTTTTGAACGCCCGCTTTCATGTCCCACATGATCAGTGTCTTTTCCTCATACGACACCACCAAGTCCCCTTCTGACGCGATGACGTCAATTCGAAGATTGCTGAAATGGCTGCTGGGAAGGATATGAAGGGCGGTCCCTAAAAAGCGTGACAAAACATGAATAAGTTTGGTAAAAGAAACACATTACCGTGTCTAACCTTCAAAGATTGTCCGTGAGGGAGAACCAAGAGGACTCGCCCCAGGGTAAAAATGCAGAGGCTGTCTGTTCGGCTCCAGGGATGTTGCTAAGGCCCCGTCCACATTCCGCCGAAGGAATTTGAAAACGCAACAATCACCGGTCATTTTGTATTTGTGTTTGGGCAAAACTCGGTCAGGAAAATCACATAATTATCGCGGTGACGCCATGGTTATCGAAGAGCTTCGTTTTCAAAATGTTTTCCGTCCACACGAAAACGTAATGCCGGAGTTTTCAACTTTCTCCGGTTTAAAGAGCGTTTTCGAAAAGCTCCGTTTCCGTGACGGATTAATGTGGACGGTAGAGATAAAGCTGGGTTTTTAAATTTCTCTGGCGTATTTCAATCAAAACAAAGGCTTGGGGTAACTTATGGCCATTGGCAGTCTATTTGCCCAGAGCCGGCCCTTGATAAAACGCTTCGTTACGTTTGGGATGATGATAGAGAAATGGATAAAATTTAAAATTGTCCCAGGAGCCCACTAGCAAGTCTGATGTTACTCTAGTGCCATGCGTTAAGAATAAAACAGATTTAAATTTGTTACTTGTACTTGAGAACTTTTGTAATGCCTAAGAAATCAAATCTTCTGGTCGTACCTTCTAAAATGTTCCAACAAACTAGCTGTGACGGCTCACAAAGACTTGCACATAGTAGTATGTTCAAGTCCTTGTGAGCCGTCACAACCAAAGAAATGACGTCGGTGTCATTCGCATTCCGCCAGTCATGCGCAAGCTTTCCTAAAACATCAAGACGTCGAGCGCGAGAGCGACCTCTACTTTTTGCCTTTCCCCAGCCCCACCCCCTTGCGTTTTGGCTTGTTCATATCCCACGCGCCGGGTTAATATTTTGCTGAGCTTGCGATCACGACGAATTCAAGACAAAATAGAGGGTCTGTGGACATACTGGTCTCCACACACAGTTATAGCACTATCTAGAGTTCTCTTTATGATGTGATGTCAAGATTCTCCTTACAGTGTCTTCTTTTCACTTAAATTACCCTCCAAACATCAAACCACAAACCACAACCTCAAGCAAACAACTTCCCCATCCAATTTATCGAGATATCGGGCAAAAAACGAGCAAAATTTAAACGCGTCCAAACGTTTGGGCTTTTGATCATGATGAAGTACACTTATAATGGCCTCTAAGCTCAAAACGAAAACACTGTGCACGTTTCTCAAGCGGTATTAAGTGCCGTGAGTCCCTCATACGACTGTCGAACAATAAAAGACGACGACATCAAAAGACCCCAAAAATATAAAGCGAGAAAAATAGCAGGTACAGGTACACTTAAAGAAAAAAATGCAACTTGAGCTTAACTGAATGCATCTTACCTGTGAAGTATTTCACCAGTTTCAAATGAAATCACCACTATGCCTCGTTTAAACGAAGCCACGCTGATCTCATTGTCACAACAACACATGATCATGCCAATCTCTTCTCCAGCTTCCGGCACGGTCAGCAATAAGGAGCCATCGCTCATGTCCCACGCTTTCACCACACCGTCCTCTGCGCCTATAACAAAATGGCCGCAGTCAGGAGTCGACGCTCAATTCACCCATCAGACACGAGAGAATTTTGGCGCGAAAATCGCGGCCAATCAGAGATTACACGGATCTCTGAAGGACTACGTCATCAAAAATTTTTCAGGTCGAATCGACCGGACGAAGATTTGAGGGTGGAAGAGTTACGGCTCTGTCGAGTCTGTTTAAAGGGGAATCTTTTTTTACAATATTTGCCTCATTAGCGTAAGTGAACAGTTTTTGATGGAGTTACATAAACATTAGCTCTGAATATATAAAGGACACAGCACAATTAACCGTCCTAAGGAATTTTTGCCCGATATATTGAAACTTTTTGTGCGAGGCGGGTCTAAAATCTCAAAATTTTACGAAGGATGTACGAGCTTATTAGCGCTTCTGTTTACCAGGAATTTTGCAATTTTTGAAAGCCAATTTCTCCTCGAATATAACACCCAAAGAGCCCAATCTTTTGCCAGTTACTAAGTTTTACAAGCTCTTTAAATGTTTGTAGTCAGTTCGTGCCTATTGCGATGCCTTCTCTACGTTAAGTTTTATGTTAACGAGGAAAATGTAAACAATGACGTCAGAAATGATTTTCGCCTATTCAGATTAATTACAAAACAAAGCAACAACAGCTTTTAAACTGTAACAGTGTTATCCAAAAATTACCTGTAACAACGTATCTACGGTAACTGGTGGCAGCGAGTCCATGGACTGTGCTGGCCGAGTGTCCAACTAACGTCTGTATTAACTGTCCGCCAGGAGGGGTTAAAAAAGCTCTCAGGGGGATGGGATCAGTGTGGGCTCTGGTGGGCTGCGAGAATCCTGGACAAGCTTAGAAAGTATCTGAAGTTAGAAAAGGTGATGGTTAGGCCAGAATTACAGCACACTTGGCGACCACCAGTGAAATAAACGTTCAAGACCGCCCAAGTAACAGTAAAATAGAAGTAATTGATTGATTCATAACTTCATGTAAGGAAGTGTTGTCTTCATATTCCGACAAGAATCCTTGTTTGAATTCCGTGACTTTTCCCGCGCTTGCCGCAGGTTATATGTTTTGTGTAATACTCGAGGAGAAATGTAACCCGCGCTTTCCGCGGGTTACATTTTTCCCGCAATTTCTTTGGGGTTACAATCTTTCCCGCCCTTGCCACAGATTACATGTTTACCCGCGTTTGCTACCCGTAACAAGCTCTTCTGCGCTTGCTGCNGCACATTTTCCACTCGGATATTTCGGTTGGAAATTTTTGACTACCTTTCAAGACGTTTCGTTTATTTCGAAAATTGTCCGGTCGGTCGAGTCAAAATTGTCTCACCATTTACATTCTGACCGAAATTTTTTTGGGCAAATGGTTAACTACCGCATTCTCCTTACACGTCTCCATACACAACTTTAGTACTTTTTAAAGTACTCTTTAAGCTCTGATGTCAACACACAAATTGTCCTTACTAGAAGAATTTGATGAAATATTAACATTGTAAAACCTTATATCAACATTTAACCAATCTCTTTACATTTCGTACTGTACTAGTTGAGAGAAATTGATAATGTATTATCCCTTGAAGTTCTGATGTCAAGTTCTCCTTACCGGTCTCAGTACATTTCGTACTGTACTGGATGGGAGAATTCACATGTTTCGCTTTCTTCCATCAAACAATAGTGTACTCACTGTTCTGCACATCCCACACGGTGGAGTGTCGGATCCAGTCGCTTTCCTTGGTCTTCCGTGTACTGGACACGAAATGCTTGCCATCTGGGGTGAGTTCCGCATGAGACATAGTCAGCCTCTCATACCCCTCCCTTTCGATGACAAAACATTGTTCTCTCGTCACCAGGTCCCACACAAACACCTGGGAACACGGCTCGTCTGTCCAGACAGCAATCGTTCCTTGTGAGTTCACGATAAATGAACGAAGACTGTGTTGAGGTTGGCTTGACCCTAGAACTGCCACCTGCTCTCCCGTTTCAATGTTGTAGAGCGTCAAATGTTTACGATCGTGAGAGTATGTTAGAACTTCTGTTCTTTTGTTGACGACGCAGATATCATCAATGCCTAAAAAGTCAAACGGTGGGATTTTTCCTTTGAGTACCGTTACAACTTTCCACGTTTGTAAGTCCACGATCGTCACGTTTTCTCCCACGCGAACAACAGCTCTTCTGCTGTCGATTATTTGAATGTAGCTTGTTGTAATACCGGTGACTTTGCGCACAGGTAAAACAGTGTACAAATCCCAAATGGTCACGCAGTGGTTGTCAATCCCCAGTCGGCCGACTGTCACCAGGTGTCGAGAGTCGCCTGGGATGGAATAAATGTTCACCAAAATCTCGGGCTTTTCTACTTGTCGGTGAACATCTTGTTGGGTTAGATCCCAGACCCTCACGATATTGTCGCCACCGGAAGTAAGAATCGCATCCCGGCCCACGGCAAAGGTCCTAGAAACGTAATTGGGATGTGGTAGAACATCTTTTCTCTCGCCACTTTCAAGATCAATTAGAGCAACTTTGTCGCGTTTTGGGAACACCAAGATGTTCTGAGTGGGGTCCAGGGAAGAGTGTCGAATCCAGTCGTCGATTTTGCACTTGTATGTCCGTAAAAGTTCGCCTTTACCGATGGAGTAAAGGTCGATTTTCATCTTTTTCGCAACAAGAACCTCATTCTCTGATTTCATTACTATTTGAGTGAGGTGAAGGAATTCTTCCTCGTCTTTCTCTTCAAAAACTACAAATGAATGAAGTATTTTGAAGTCGCTTAAGTCAATCACTTTCAAGGAATTTTCGTCTTCTTTTGAGTTACAGAGTACAATGTCGTTCCAGGAGGTTAGCAAGCTGTTCTGCCCTGCTCCACCGACCGGTTTGATGCTTGTTAAACTGTGCAAAGATTTCCCAGAGGTGGTTAACATCACATTCAAACTCTTTTCTTTGAGGAAGACCAGTTTGGATCCTTTGTTGCCGGCTAGCGTCAGTGGAGGATAGCTCTCAAAATACTTGGTTTCTACCCTGTGGTACGAAAAAAAAAAATCAAAACAAACAAATATAAAGCAACAAGCAGACATACCATGTGAAGTCCACCTGAGACGATGGTAAAAAGGACATGCTCTGTATTCAAGTTTCAGAGGGATATAAGAAAATCAGAAATTAAAATCAAATCAGAAAATTATGTATTCTTTTAACATAACTTCCAGGCATCCCAGCACAGACCTTAACTTCAAGTGAGCAACTTCCCCATCCTATTTCCTGAAATGTCGTGCGAAAAAACGAGCGAAATTCAAACGCGTCCAAAAGTTAGAGGTTTTTTAAATGTAGTACACTTTCGATGGCCTTTAGGCTCGAAACGAAAACATTGTGTACGTTTATCAAGCGGTATCAGGTGCCGCGAGTCCCTCATACCACTGCCGAACAATAAAAGATTACGACATCAAATGTCTCCAAAATGCAAAACGAGAAAAATAGCACAGTATAAAAGACCGACAATTACACTTAAATAAAGGGCACCTTTAGCTGAACTAAATATTTCTTACCTGTGAAGTATTTCACCAGTTTCAAATGAAATCACCACTATGCCTCGTTTAGACGAAGCCACGATGACCTCATCGTCACAACAACACATGATCATGCCAATCTCTTCTCCAGCTTCCGGCACGGTCAGCAATAAGGAGCCATCGCTGATGTCCCACACTTTCACCACACCGTCTTCTGCACCTATAACAAAATGGCCGCAGTCAGGAGTCGACGTTCAATTCATCCAGCAGACACGAGAGAATTTTGGGACGCAAATCGCGGCCAATCAGAGACTACACGGATCTCTGAGGAACTACGTCATCAAAAATTTTTCAGGTCGAATCGACCAGACGAAGATTCGAGGGTGGAAGAGTTACGGCTGTTTCAAGTTTGTTTAAAGAGGAATCTTTGTTTACAATATTTGCCTCATTAGCATAAGCGAACAGTTTCTGATGGAGTTACAAAAACATTAGTTCTGAATATTGAAAGGGCACAGCACGATTTACTGTCCCTACCGATGTATTCACTACTTCTTGTGCGACGCCTATTTAAAGAAGGTATGAGCCCATTAGCCCTTTTGCTATCCAGAAATTCTGCAGTTTTTGAAAGCCAACTTCTCCTCGAATATCACACCCAGAGCCAAAAATTTCACCAATTACTAGTTAAGGTTCAGAAGCTCTTTAAATGTTTGCAGTCAATTCGTGTCTATTGCGATGCCTTCTCTGCGCAAAGTCTTATGTTAATGAGGAAAAATGTAAACAGTGGCGTCAGAAAAGTTTTTCGCCTATTCAGATCAAAGAAAAAACATAGCAACAACAGCTTTTAAACTGTAAGTGTTACCCAAACATTACCTGTAACAACGTATCTACCGTCACTGGTGGCAGCGAGTCCATGGACTGTGCTGGCCGAGTGTCCAACTAACGTTTGTATTAACTGTCCGCCAGGAGGGGTTAAAAAAGCTCTGGATGGGATCACTGTGGGCTCTGGTGGCCTGCGAGAATCCTGGACAAGCTTGGAAAGTACCTGAAGTTAGAAAAGGTGACGGTTAGGCCAGGATTACAGCACATTTGGCGCCCACCAGTGAGAAAAGCGTTCAAGACCGCCCAAGTAACAGTTGGATAGCAGTAATTGGTTCATATCTTCATGTAAGGTGCTCCCAGGGAAGTGTTGTCTTCATATTCCGACAAGAATCCGTGTTTGCAGTCCGTGACTTTTCCCGCGCTTGTCACAGGTTAAACGATTTCCCGCGCTTTCCACAGGTTACATGCTTTCTAACGTTTGCTACCCGTAGAAGGGTTTCCCGCGCTTGCTGCAAGTGCTGAAAATTTCATTCCTCGTAAAACCGATACCAAATTATCAATGACGTTACTCTTGTTAATCTCAACAAACGAAATGTAATGAACTAACTAGTATCAAAACGTAAAGCAAAATCGCCCAACCGGAACCAAGCGAGGAAGACGCGACACCAGTTTGAATTTGTTTCAACAACGCATATATATACTTACTGGTGATAGGCTGGATGAAATAACGTGATAGGCATTCTTAACCTTACACTGTCAAAAAGAAAGTACAACAAAAATAAACAGTTTTAAGATTAAAACCAGTAACAGTACTAACAGAACACCAAGTCAAATGTTACGTTTTCGGCGATTTAAAGAATATTGTTGTCACAAGTTTCAACTTTAATCCTGAATTAACCAAATCTTACTTTGAAAAGCTGGGTCGAGGCATTTTAACAATGCCGTACAAGAAATAAGGGGGCAAAACCTGACTAAGGGAACAGAAAAAACATCAAAATGGTGCGAACCTCGTAAAGCCTCGCTACAAATTGCGCAGCGAGTTGTTTAGAGTCGCTCAAAATGGCGTCTTGGGCGAGCTGAAGCACTCCCCCAACAGCAGCAATGTCAGGGTCATTGACAACCTTCATGGCGGCATGGAAATTATCCAACACAGACCTGTGAACAAAAGTAACATTGTTAAAAAAATGTTCAAATGTTGTTGTTTATAGTGGTCAATGCGCTTAGCTCCACCTAGCTAGTTCACAGGCATGCCACTTAAACTGAAAGAAACAAATATATCAACTAAACATAATAGGGTTAAAAATCCCAACTGGCGGGAGGCAGACCAGTTGGTTACATACAAGCGTGACCGTGGAGTTGAACTAGGGTCTACCGAGAAACAACACCAGCTAGTGGTCAGAGCGGGACTTGAACCCGCGACCTCCAGATTATAAGTCTGGCGCCCGAACCTCTCAGCCACGCTGCCTCTTCCTCCTCTGTTTAATTCAGAGACAAAATAAATACAAGCATATCTGACCAGAGTGTACCTTTGAAGGAAAGGAAGAAAAACTGCTTGAAACGCTTCATTTAAAAGTTATAGACTGAGAACGTTTTCAGATCGAAGTCAAATTGTGAAGCTTTAAAATGTTTGTATCAATGCTCTTGTTGTAAGTAGCTGGTAGTTGTAGTAATTGAGTTGAAGCATGTTGCAGTAATTTGCAGCAAGGGTGGTAATTTCGGCGAAACAACTCTTTTCAACATGAAATGCGACATTTTTACGCCGCAACTTGCAAGACAATATTGCTCTGACCACTTACCTTACTTAAGTTTATTCTTATAAAGGCAAAAAGGCTGTTACCCTACCTGAGAGAACGCGCCGTTATTTTTATTCTGAGCCAATGAAAGTTACAGAGCACTTCACTTTTTAACTCGTCCCATCTTTCGCTGCGCATCAGATGAACGGGAAGTTCGTGTAGTTTTCTCAAATTGTATCTGCCTTTAGACAATATCAGAGGTTGTCCTGAAATACTCGCCAAGCGCACGTGTTTGCCATGAATGAGAGTCGTCTCCTTCGTGTTCTCCGCTGCACAAAAAGGAAATAAAATTGTTCTAGACCTGCTAATTTTGCGCGATTATCGCTTTTTCCACTAACAATATTAAGCCTTTTTGAGATCTGTGATACAAAAGTTACATTTGACAGTCGCTGCTGCCACCTAGCACGATAGCAATTGATGATAGTTAATGAAGGAAATCAACGTTTGATGAGTAACAGCTTCATGTTTGGTGTTTGGGAATAAAAGGCACCCCTTTCTATTACTCCCCATATAACCTCTCTATATTATGATATCATGTGAGCTGAATAAAGATTCTACGTATCCATAAAAAACCCCTTAGAATTCAACCAAATAGTGTGGTGTGTAGTGCCAAAAAAACTTTTAACATGGCTGTTTATATCAAGGCGTGTGACAGAAACGGCGAGTTTCAGTGTTTCCCTGTGGCCAGTCATTAAGTGCTCATTGTATCCCCTAGCATGCTTAACAATGTAATGATCTAAGGAGAAATTAGATGTTGAACCATCTCACTTACC